ACACCGACTCGCTGCACACCAGCCCTCCACAGTCACCAACCCAGCGTGCGGCACCGCCACCAACGCTGTCACAGCGCTCGAGAGGAGGGGAACACTGGTACAGGAATCAACAAACCCAGATCTGCCTCCTCTTGGACACACACCCGGGCCAAGCAAGGCTGGACCCAATGGGAGAGCGGGCGTCCAGCAGTGCCATTCTGGAAAATCATAGAGACCATGTGCGAGACAGAGCACCCCTTCCATCCTTTAAGAGGTCAAGAATTGTGGTGGTTTTTTTCTAATATTCTTGCAGCAAGATTAATTCCTTTCTGTCAAGGAAAGGTTTGGCTGGTTTGGTAAGCTGCAATCCTGCCGTCTCTAAGAGATCGCTTCTACAGTTTGTTTTCTAGTCACTGCATTCAGTGCTTGCTTTGATCTTTTATCTGAATCCTGCTCCCGTTGCTCTACAACTGATTATTTTCATGGGATTGGGCTCTCTGAAGCTGACATTCAGTGAAGCCAGTCAAGACGCAAACCACAGCCTCACCTCTCACATCCTCGTCTACGAAGTGCAGGTTTGGTTTCAGTCTCTGCTGTTGGGCTCAGCCCTTCTACCCCGTGAATAAATCCTCATCTTCCCTCTTAAAGAATTAACCCTCCTGAAAGCTAAGGATTGGAAGAGGCTGTACTAAATAAATAGCGTAATTTTTAATGCATATGCCTGCTGTCATTGTGTGGCCGTCTCATCTGCTGTCATTTTTCCATTGCTGTCTTTTCAGAAGGCTTTTGCTGATCCAGGCATTTATTTGCAGCTTTGCTCGCAAGTGTTGGTCACAATCTGGGCTTTGATCTTTTGTCTGTGCGTTCAGAAATCCCCAGAGGTCTACCGTTGCTATTTAGCTTTGTGAAACGTTAACATTTTTAATTCAGTTTTAGTCTCTGCAGCATATTTATTTGCCACTAAATCTCTTCCACGGTTTACTGACAAGCAAACCCTTACAAACCTTTCAGCAAGTGCATGTGCAGAATAGAAACAAGCAGTGCAAGATTACTCAGGAAACGTTTCTAATGTTCTTGCGTTCTTGCTCTGTTCCCGCGACCAAACACTGTACAGTGCTTTTGGGTTACAGATCCTGAGGCTTTACCCAGGGTAGTAGCTGTTACTCTCCAGACTCCGTAGATAAGAAACGGAGGCAAAGCGACCAGGGGAAGGTCACGCAGCCAGCTGGTGACTGAGCTCAGACTAAAACCCAGCTCTCCCGTGCTTCAGACGCTAAACCAGAATGAGAGCTGTGTCCTCCTGCAGAAAGCATGGTGATGGTGGCAGAGCAGCAGCATCAACCACTTAAAACTGTAACTGTTGATGCGTCGTTTATTATGTGTTCAGTTCGTTTATTATTTCTATATTACGCGTTTCGTTGCATTTCTTTTCAAGCACGCTTTTTGAAGAAGGGTGGTAAACGCCAAGTCCCAGAGGGAGAGTGTCTCGGGCTGGTCTGCACTGTGTGTCAGTACCTGCTCCGGGTGAGCTGAGGGCTTGTGCCCCAGCAAGATCACAAGCTCACACCTGATACCCCCGCCCTGGTGTGACGGGATGGAGATAAGAGCAGGCGGTGGATGGCTCTGCTGTTCTCTGAGCCCGATGAAGCTTGGAAGAGACTACACCCAACGTCTTATCTCTTTTTAATCTGTTCTGTCCTCCCATTTAGACAAAAAGAGCCTTTTTACTGAGGTTAAGCCTGTGAATGAGGCGCGGCATCATGGAGCATCTCTGGCCCATGAGCTCTTCTGCTTTGATATTTAATTACATCACACTTGGCTGCTGGCCTGCACCAGTGTTCCTCTCGCCGAGCTCTTCCTCAGCCTGCGGAGGGATGTCTCTGAGGGCCACTGGCTGTCTCTGTCTGGGGCACAGGGACACCGGGATCAAGGGACACGGACCCACCACTCCTTGACATCAAGGGACATAGAGCCATCGCTCCTGCGCACCCAAAACCCCCGCCTTGGGCAAAGCTTGCCCCCACCACACTTCGACAGCAGCCGCTTTCTCCGTGTTACTCATTCGGCACAAAAATGTCTTGTCATAAAATAATTACACCCAGATTTCACTTGCACGGGATAACGTGAGTTCGCAATCTCCGGCAGGCCGGGCGAGAGTCACACGAGAGATCAATGCTTTTTGGAGCACGCTGTCTGCGGGTAGAGACATTACTCAGCGTATACTTCCTTTATGTGCCTCCAGCGTATATAACCCCATGTTGCAAGGAAGCTGAACTGCCCATGAAATTCATTGCCAAACCGATAAATAACCTCTGGAAATCGCTGCCGTGAGATACGGCTGCCAATAGTATAACCAAACTGGGAAAAAGGTTTAGAAAATGTTAATATCAAGAATTGGAGAGCTTGTAGTATTGGAGGGAGGGAGTGAACCCTGAGATGTTAAAATGAATGTACTGGGAGCGACATCATGATTTGATTCAAAACACTGGGCTGCTCACTATGAGGATCTCGGTGCTGGACTCGAACACCTACAGTTTGATCCCCGTCACTCAGGACGCTGGTTTCCATCCCTCAATACCACACTTGGTGGAAAGAAGGCACAGGAGGGGTGCAAAAGGCTTTCCAAGAGCAAAGCAGGCGAACGGCAGAGCGAAGAGCCCCTCTGGCAAGTCAGAAATCTGGAACTGAGGACGTGACGTGGCATGGGGGCGTTGGACTGTTACCAAAATTCCTGCTTGCTTCACGCACCGGACAAGTTACCCACTGATCCATTCATTGCCAGAGGTGAACAGCACGGGCGTCCATCCCAGAATGAGCCCGTCACCTCTTTTAAACCATTGGTAGAGACAAGCACTTTCCAAGCGGGTTAGAAGGGAGGGAGGGAGCTGTACCGTGTATTAGAACAGAATAGTTCCATTGGTATATATATATACGCCCATATGTTTGTGCCCTTCTCTTTCCATTTTCTCCAGTAACCAGTCCGTGTTTACCGGGTGCATCCACGCACCCGTGGAAGAGAGAGATGTCTCTCAGGCCCCAGGAAATCTTTGCCACCAATGAAGCACACGTGCACGGTGAGAGCAAGGCAAATGTTTCATCCCCGCGCCGCCACGTGCCGCTGAACAGGAAAGGAGCAGATATATTAGCAGGTATCTATCCTGGGGTGAGTTAGCAGGGCTGGGAATTCAACCAGCAGGTACCTGAAACGTAAGAGGAGGCTTTCGGCTTCGTTTTCTGACAAGACAAGCATTTTGACCCACGGGGTTTGGTAATTCCGGCGATACAGGCAGCGCGAGTCTCAGGATGTGGACATTGAAAAAAATACCGTCCCCATCTCACATGAGGGCTGCTGGTAGTATGTGGCTGTTCTCTTACAATTTCCTTCCTGCACAGGCAGTAAGCACTAATTTTAGACTCGCTTACATGTAAAAGTCACTCTTTCTGGCTAGGAAATAGTTTGTTGCTTCTTAAAGAAGATTCCTACCCCGTCTTGCCAAGGTAACTGCTACTCTGTCAGTCGAAGCGACGGATCTCTTGGGTTGTTAAAAGGGGACAACACACCGCAGCGTTGGTTGGGAGGTTGTAATCTCCAGGTTTAACAGTTCTACGGCAAATCGGTGATTCCATAATAATAAAGTGGATAACCCTAGGCAGGTTGGAGGTTGGAGGTTAGCACTTACATTACCTCCGCAACTTTTAAGTCTTACAAAAAATTGCCGGGTCTTTTACAGAATTTGGTTTGGTGACGCACACTCGGAGAATCCTCTTGGCTTTTAATGTGCCGGTGTTAACGTCATTCTTGCAGGACACGTTCCCTGGGAATTTTCCTGGTGGGATGCAGGGGCAGCTCAGTCACACAGCACCCTGTGAGCAAGGGCGTGCAAGGGCGTGCAAGGGCGCGTGGTTGTGGCACCGGCACCCCTCCCCACCCCAGCCCCACGTGGTGTCACCTCCACCAGCGGCCGCTCCACACCAAAACCAGTCTCTGCTGGAACAGAAGAGGTAGGAGAAAAGGATGTGCAGAGCAAACAGAGAGCATTGAGGCATTTTACCGAGTATTGTAAACACCTTTCGTGCTCGTATTCCTTAAAGCATTCGGAGCGTTTCCCAAAAAAGCTGTGGGTGATGAGCGCATCGATACATGATCCAACCTCCCGCATGCCCAGGGAGCTCCTGGTTGCTCCAGGAGCATTTTGCTCTGCAGCGCCAGGCAAACAACTGTTCAGCAGGAAGGAGACTCCTGCAGTTCGTTTTCTTGTTTCAGAAGATCCAAAATGCCCTCTCACGCCCCAAATAAATGCTGTCGCGCTGTGCCACTCTCTGCTTCACAAAGCAAGGCCGAGGCGCTGACGAGCTGCTGTGAGGACAGGATAAATCCTTCACACAAAGTGAAGAATCCACCCAGTGACCAATTTAGAGAGACTTTAAATCAGCCTGGAAGATGATGAAGGTTTGATCTTGCCTGATGTCGTTTTTATTACTGAATGGGAGGGAAAATGAAATCAGGTGATGCTGTCACACAGAAAAGATTTCATGTCCTGGTACCCACGTCTGCTGTAGGATATACAAATCCCTCTTGGAACACACGTTTGCTGTAGGAAATATAAATCCTCTTCGGTGTAGTGTCTCTTCATTAAGAGTGATCCCAAGACATTTTACACAATTCAGTCAGGACGTCTAACGGATCATTTTATCCATCTTAACTGCAACCAGCTCCGGGGACAAGATGCTCCAAACATTTAACAAGAGAATGATTTTGAATAATAATTGGAGCATTTTGCATCCTTCAAAAAATCACCTGCTCCGTATTTCAGTTCTTATGGGAATCCAAGTTTTACATTTTTTTATGCTTGTGACGATATGAGGTAAGTTTAAAATTGTGATTTACTGGCCAAAGCATTCCAGACAGCCACAAGAATTTGTAGTTGATAAAGAGGGCAAATTTCAGATTTGGAGTTTTTCTCCAGTTCTGCTGTTTGCAATCTCAAAGGCTGGTATGTGCTATGGTCACCACTTTGGGGTTTTTTAATCACAGCTACAGTTTCTCTCAAAATAATCTCCCGATACTTTGCGGGAAGCAGGTCTTTACATCCACCGACTCCCCGTTCATGGCTCTGAGGCAGGAGACGAGCTCGTCGGGGACCAGCGTTTGCTCTTGAACGTCACTGGCCAACACGTGTCCCCACTGGTTCTCCGGGAGGGAGCCGGGTCCCCCCTGGGCTAAGCCAAACACGTGGCTTTGCCCGCTCCGGCTGTTGTTTAAGATGAGGTTGATCTTCTCCAGCAGACAGACGTGATGCTCCCCTCCCTCCCCGTCCCACAGCTGGGGAACGGGGCTCGTGTAGTCTCTGAAGAAGACGTTCCCCTCCGGTTCTGGGAGGGGTGTGGGGAGCTGTGTGTGGTAAATATTGGTGGCTACGTACCCCAGCGGGTTCCCGTCGGACACCTGAGGTTTGTAGCCACTGATCTGCTCGGGGGTGACGATGCTGGCAGGCGCCGTGCTCCCCGGCTGCTCCCTGGCCTCGGGGACCTCTCTGCTGGGCTTCCTCCGGGTGCCCATGGTCTTGTAGTCCTTGTGCGCTGGCACCTCCTCGATTTCCGTAACTGTGGGGTCGCTGGTGTCCAAGAACGGCTCATGGAAACTGTTGCTCGTGAAATCACTCTTCTCCTGGAAAGAAATGGTGAGAGGAGCAATAAACCAGAAAATTTTACCAACGGGAGATCTATACCATTAGAGCATCCCACGGAAGAAATGGGGCAATGACTTGTTGTCTTCGTCTCATCTTCCTTCCCACCTCTCTCAGCGAGGTGGGCAAGGGAGGACGGGGAGCTGCTCTGCCTGTCTCCATGCTTCCGCACGCACTTCAAGGGCAGCTCAAGTCAACTGCGGCCACTGAATAAAGAATATATTCAGGCAGTGTTTAAAAACCTCAGCTAAGCTGGGCTGTCATGCACCTTGCAAGTGCCTGGGAAATGATTTCCTGGTCCCTTAGAGCTTAATCCTCTTCCCATCTGTGCTTCTCACAGCTCTGGAGCAAGCTTGAATCTAAGGGGAGACAAGTGAAGAGAATCTGGGAGAAAATGGTGCAATTACCTGGAGTGACTTAACCACGTTGCTGTTTTCCAGGTGGGGAAAGTCTTCAAACAGCCATTTTGGCAAGAGCGACACAACAGTGGCCTTAATTCTTTATGAAAAAGAAAAGAATAAACCCCAAGATGTTAGCCCATTTTATTAGTTCCTTATTCTTCACTCAGGACGAAGCTGTCCCCCGGCAGGAGGAGCACGGCAAGTGCATCCATCCTTCGGGGACGGCTCGGAAGCCCCAGGTTTACACCACACAGGTGGGTTTCCCCCTTTGAACTCTTCATCTTTCATCTTATTCCCCCCCGGTTTGATTCACGGCAGTGCAAGCCTGGAAGCTAAATTACTCTCGGTAAATCCCTTTTGTAAAACTTGTCTCTATGTGACAACGTGGGGGAGCTGGGGGGAGGCCCAAGCTATGTGTATGAACCAGAGCAGGCAGGCGCACCCTGAACTGATGAAATCAAATACATGGCAGTAACGAAAGTTGATTTTCCTGCAGCTGAAATGAAAATAATTTGCAAGAGATTTTAATTTTGTTGAGTCTTGCTGGTGTTCTGGCGCTTTGCTGCGTTGCTGGGAAAATACACCGTCCCTGTTGTTGAAATGCCCGTGTTTCACAATTACAGCGAGAGCAGAAGAGTTAGGCTGGGTTCAGAAAGCGAAAGAGGCAGTTTCTCAACAGCCTCTACTCCCAGGTCTCCTCTTGTTGTGTCAGGAAGATCCAACCAGGAGCTCTGTGCCACAGAGGTCACCCGTTCCCCCGGGTTTGTGTTGGGACAGCAGCGCCTGCACTGCTGGACATCCCTGTTCCGGTTAAACAGCAAACTGGGATAGACGAGCGCGGGTTTGCAAGGGTGCCTAGCAAAGAGCTGTCAATGTAAGAACCAGTATTAAGATCTTCCCTGTTGAGTTTTCCAGCTGCCCCACTCCCAAGTTTGTGTCTGTATCTCAGGGTGCAGGCGTGAGGAGTTTCAGCATCCCCTCCTCTAGTCAGAACTGGGAGTAACCAGTCCTAGGATAAAACTTACCTACAGAGGTTATGTTTTTCCTCTCTTTTTCTGAGAGACACAATCCCGTGTGTTCCCAAGGTTGGCCTTTACAAATTTTTTAAACTTTTTTTGTTGGTCTCTGCCTTACTGTAGAGCACATCTGATTAACGGGCGAAGTTGCCCTCAGTTAGAGCAGGCTGCAGTGAAAGCGACTGGTTTCTGCAGTTTATTTTAAAATATTCCAGAAGAAAAGTATGAGTTGGAAATAAGGAAAAAAAAATGTAGAGGGGAAAGTAATACCTCTTTCTGGCTGATTTTTTAAACATCAGAAATAGAAAAACAACTGATAATGTGACCATGCTGATGCCCAGTCCCAGGAAATCTCCGACGTCATCATCTGGAAAAGGATAGAGAGGAAGGAGGTCAGTCGGGCGGCCCTGCTCCACCGCCCCCCTGGTCGCTGATGTAAAGGGCAGACCTCTGCTAAAGCCGCCCTCGGCACTTCACTCGCCCTTTCGCTCCTCAACGAGCCAAGCAAAGCCATAACAAAAGCAAAATCAAACCCGGTGTCCCATCCGCCTTGCGCTGCGGCCAGAAGCGTGCACGGCCCCTTCGCCATCTCCATCGGCCGAGTCATTCGAAGAAGTGTGGTCGCTGTGTTTAACCATTTCCTACACAGACTTACCTTCCAGAAACGCTGAAGTGCACTCTTCAGCTTATGTAGGTTTTGCTTTTGGTTTAAGTACTGCAACAGGTCATAACGTAACCTTTAGCAGAAGATGTGCAAACCGGAGCATAACCGAAAGTTAGAAAAATGGGTGGGAAACGCTCAAACGAGTCTCTGGTTCAAGCTGCAAGACTGAAGCACTCCATCGCTGTTGTGTTAATGTTTTATCTTTCTCGTTTTCTTATCTCCTACTTGTTGTAATGCACATTATGTTATACATCTCATACGGAAGCAAAACTTAAGGCACGCGTTACGCTGTTCAGCCGTGAGAGCCTTTCCTGCTACGTGGCTCATGTCCCCATCAAACGAAAAGCTGTTTTTCCGGCCCTGACCTCTCCGAGGCGTAAAGGAGCTTTTGCTTCCTCATCAACAGATGCTGCAGGTGCCGTTTGAGCTAAAACGTCCACTTCTGGTCAAGGAGAAAGTCTGGCTTACCAAGTCTGAGCTATTATCTTCTTACCATGGGAGATCTCGATGTAGGTGCTGCCCAGGAGATGGTTCTCTGAAGGGACTTAAACAGAGAGAGGAAAAAAATATCCGTAACTTCATTTAGAGAACGGCAGGTGACATAGAAGCTATTTTGTTAATATTTTGTTTAATGTTATTTAGAAACAGAAATAATGGTATCATGAGAAAAATAAAGCCCTCGGTACTTTTAGCACTAAAGTAATTACTAACTCCACCTCTGACCAGACTCTACACAATATTCTCTTTCTCGGAGATCTAATTAAAAGAGATGTTGGCGAACACACATAACACCGATTATAAAACATCTTCCACGCACATCGCCCCCCTCAGCACCCGAAACAAGAATTTAGTCTGCCTCGAGGAATCGGACATCCTTTCTGATGAGCACCTACAGATTATTTCCCAAAGTGTCTGAGCCCCACGGGACTGAACTTTCTGATAATATCTGTTTGTGTGATGGGCTGTGTAGTGAGGGAAGATCTGCAGCCTGCCAGGGCAAGGAGTATATTTTTGTTAAAATAAGCAGCAAGCTTTCCTCCTGGCCAGCCTCAGCCATTGCCTTTTGCTGTGTCCTTCGCAGGCAGTGAGCATTGCTGATGACGAGATCCTGGGTCTGTGTCGCGTTCGAAGGAAGGGAAATGACCCCAAAACGCTGGCAACACAAAAGGCCCCTTTTGCAGAGTCACCTGTGCAAGCACAGCTCCCACTGGCAGCAGGATTTTCCCCAAATTACCAAAACTGGGAAATTCGGGCAGGGCAGCCTGGCCAGCGCAGGAATCCAGGTGCTTGGTGAAACCCCGCGTCTGCACATTGGAAAACTCCTCCGTACCCTTCAGTTGGGTGACTGCTCTAGGAAAAATCCTGCTGCTCCCCGTGTTTGCCCTCCTGTCCCCGAGAGCAGCCACCCCGGCAGGACAGGGACGGGAAGCTGCCTCCTCCGCAGAGCGCGGGCACCACCTGGCTCCAGCCAACGGGCTGCTCGGGGCAGCAGAAGCCTGAATGCATTTAAGTAGAGAATCAGCATTAATAAGAATAGCGGCTAGCATCCTCATCCACAATCACTGAGCTTCAACTGGCCAAGACAACTAAGGGTATCCAGCATAATATAGCGTATATATATATATATCTATAATAGACGTATATATCCTCATCAACAGGGGCCAGCTGATTTTAGCCAGGGATTTCTGCAACAGAGTCAGTAATCTGTCAGTTGAGACGAGTTCAGATGAAAATGAGTTAAAACCGTCTGGAATTCACAGCCTTTCATAAACGCAACAGTGGCTGTCAAAGGACAGAGCTCATCCAAGGCTGGTGGAGCAAGGCCCGTTCCGCTTCTGTTTGGTACAGCCTCTGCAAGGATCAATGCAGACCCAAGGCCAGAGGCAATTTCTTCCTCTCCAAAGGGCAAAAAGATCCCCGAAAAGGTCTCTGGTTTTGTGCATCTGAAGCATATGTGTCTCCTAGCAGAGCTCCCGGAGCTCAGGTATTCCCGTTCCCTCCGTGTTTTCAGCGCAAGCCCACTCAGTTGGAGCCTGCTGCAGATGCTGCGAAGCGTCTCTCAAATATATGGGGTTGTGGAAAGAAAGTGATGGAACACACTGTTCTGCAGCCTGGAATTCGGCAGTTTTGGCGGGCGGGTGTCACATTAAAAAAAAATAATGTTATTACAGTAACGCCTCGCTGACGACGAGTGAGGTCAACCTGAGTAAGGAAGGCGAAGAGTGAGGTTCGGGGTGCGGGGTCGAGCTGGGGACTTACTGCCGGTGGGGTGTCAGCTGGGGGTTGTGCTGGCGTCTTGGACACAAACCTTGTTGCTGACATGAGCTTTGCTTCTGCCTCACATTGGTACTGCCCCACACAAACCCCCAAGCTTTGTTAACGGGGTCTATGCAGCCACTAAGGGTGAAGTCGCTATTTTTAAGCATTTAATGCGTTCCTAAGCCATTTGCTAGTGCAAAGGTTAGAGCATCCTCCTTTTGACAGCCAGCTCTTCCCTCTTCTGAGCAGATGCAGACCTGCTGCCGAGGGTTAAGCCCACCTGAGGATCAGGACCCTGAAAATTCATGTGATCAGAGCTGGGGGTGCCCAAACACCGACGTGCCCAGAGCTGAAGGCTCTCAGTGTGTCTGCGAGGACAATACCCAGCAGCCAGGGCTAACAGATGTGAACAGCCTGGGATGAACCGGTCAGGAATATCTGTTTTCATTTCTTGGGAAAAAAAAATTAAATAACTGCCCTTCTCAGAGCCCTGAGAGGTGCCAACCAGAAACACAGTGCTGGTGTGTTGTAGGGAAAGTTCCCAAGCAGCTTCAAATAACCCATCTAAAACTGCATCCCAGCACGGGGGGTGAACTGGTGACATCCACGGGTGTTACGGCTGCCTGCAGCCACAGCCAGCTCTGTCGGGGTCCTAACAGCCCTGACCAGCCCCACCTGGGGCCTCCACCCACACCCCCTGCCCTGGGGCTCTATTTAAGATCAGCCCTGAGCATTTAGGCCTGGCTTAGAGAAGCTCTAGGAGGCTGGGTTCTGACCTATGGGTTGGCTTCGTGGCTTAATCTCAGCTCTCTGCTGTCTCTGTGGTCCTGCCCAGCCACCGCTGGGCCCTGTCTGCATCCTCCATCAGCACGGAGGCTTTGTGGGCGCTGCGGTGTCTGTCAGCAGGTATGGGGGCGCTGGGAGGCGTGCTCAGGCGCTGAGCTGCGCCTGGATTATCCTGCTTCACCCGGGTGAGGAGCAGCAGGAGGATGGAGCAGCTCGGGGAGCTCCTGAGGGTGACGGCAGCCGACGCGCCCAGCGCTGGAGGTGAGGACAGTCCTGGCTTTCCCTTCAGAACTGGCCTGGGTTCTCATCTGAAACGCCTGCCAGAACCGAAGCCTGCCTGCTTCCAGCCCCAGGTAAGAAAGAGCAGGCTGCAGCTTGGCCAGTTGCTCTCTCCAGGAGTTGTTTGCTGTGTTTTGGTGTATCTAGAACATTTTATTGACAGTTGCGCAAAGCATTTTCTATCACAAGAAGGGAGAACGACTCCATTGATGTATCTTGCGAAGTAAGAGGTGGTTCTCACGCGCGTTAAATCTGGGTGCAGGAGTGAAGGCTGGCTAGAGAAGGCTTTCAGGCAGATGCATTGATAAAAATCTCTATTTTCATATCCTGCAGCTAAGAGGTTTCTGTCTAGAGCCCTGTTTTCCTCTGATCAATGAGAGGGTTTTACCTCTTCTTTCTAAAACTAAGTCATTCTAAAAAAACTGGCAGATGGCGGGAACGTCAAGAACAAAACAGCAAGCTCAGCTTCTGCAGCTCCACAGCAGCAACTTCCCCACCCGAGAGGGCTTACCTTGGCTGGCGCTTGGCTTGCTGACTCCGTCGGGGTAGACTGCGCATACTGACACGTTGATGTGGCTTCCCGCTACTCCCTCTTCTAGAAAGAAGCAAGATTTGCCTTTAAAATGTATTTGTAAGCTGCTGTGAAAGCTCTAGGCTTGCTCGAGGGCTTCTTGCTGCGGGGTGTAAGTAGATGGAAGCGTGTGTGGGGTGTCCCCAGCCTGCTGTGCCCCTTCCCTCCCAAAAACACACGTGGAAGGGAAAAAGCTTGGTGGGGTACCTGGCTGGGGAGTACCCCAAACCCACTAAACACCAGAATTAGTGTGGGAAGGGTCCCAAGGTGCTCAGGCTGTGCTGGTGAGGACCCTCAGGGGTCTCTCTGGGCACGGGGGGAGGAGAGCTGCTAAAGCCGCAGCCTCGGCGCACCAAGCGTTGTGCCTTCTCTCCCTGCATCCTTTCGACACACCGGGGCATCGCCCGCGCTCGGAGAGGCCTCCACAGATCTCGTGTGGCTTCCTGGCCCGCCAGCTCACTTGGCACTTCGTTCTCTTTTGCTGTGACCTTCACCTGGGGGACCAGATCCCACCCACTCGCCCTCCTGTCTCCTGCTGCTTCACTCCTCCTTGCTCCTGAAGGGCTCTGCATGGTCTCACTCACCAAAAACAAGTGGGCAGGGGCTCAATTTCAACTGAAACTCTGCGTTTATAATATATTTTGGCTTTATAATATCCTGATGAACTGCACCCAGGACTCCTGGATTATCTCACCTTGGATGTACATCTGTGTTTCCTGGTGTGGGACTTTCTCCCAAAAATACTGCTCCTCCTGGCTATACTGGGCGGTGCGAACCCACTCCACTATGAACCAGAGCAGGGACCTCCTGCTGCTCGGGGGGGGCTGCCAGGCCACCGAGACTCTGCTGTGGCTCTCGGCCTTGACCTCCACGGCCCTCGGTGCTGGGAATTCTGCGGAGAGAGACAGCAAGGGGACTGTCACCCCAACCTTGTCTCTGAAGAGCGGGAGACTTGGAAGGGTCAGCAAAGCCCTGGCAAAATGCCTTCCCTGGAAGGGTTGAAGGACTGACAAGGGTACAAGAAATTCTAGAATGTGGTAGTTTATATATATATATACACACACACACACACAAATGTGTGTACATATCAAAATCTGTATCTCAAAATCTGTATTTTTATATATATATATATGTCTGTTCACAAAAGCCCATCTTCGGCTTTGTCATGTCTCGTCTGAAATGCTTCACCTGTCACTTCTTACAAGAAATGAGAGATTAGAGAATTTTTTCCACCTTATTTCTGTTCAGTTTCTTTTTAGTCATATATTTGTCCTCAGTTTGAATGGGACTTTCCCCTCCCATTGCTCATTAAAGAGACATTTTTTTTTCCAAAATAGGAAAGTGTGGTTATGGGGAAAACCACAGCCTGTGGTGCAGGGAACTGAAGGTGGCCCAGAAAGGAGTTGTTTTTTTTTTTTCCTCCCTTTCTGTCTGCGAGGACCCAGCTGGGGCTGTGTCCCTGGCGGAGGTGGCAGGAGCTATTTTGGGGAGCAGAGGAGCACCCTTGCATGGGGCCTGCTGCACAGCCCTGCCCTGCCAGCCAACGCAGGCAGGATTAACTTATTTTTAAGCTTGTGCTGCAGCCTTCAGAGGCTGAGGGCTGAGATATGTGGCTGCAGGGTGTCTCCATCTTCGGGGCGTGCTGGCCTTGTCTGGAGGGCATTGTGTTCCCTCCGCCGGGGTTTTTCCCTTGCTTTAAAACCATGCATGCACAAATTAACTTTTTTTTTTTATTTTTTCCCCCCCGCAATTCTGATAGAAGCTGGTCTCTGTTAAAGCTGCAATCGGTGTGTGTGAGCTCCTACCTTCCCGGCTGCTGGCCCCCTGGCTCAGGGGGATGCTGGCAGGGCTGGAAGCCCCCTTGGAGTTGTGAGCGGTGACCTGGAGGGTGCGGGCTCCGGGGGGCACCCGGCCGCTGCAGGACGTGCTGGAGGTGTTGCAGAGGAGCAGGGGTCCCCCAGGACCCTCGACGAGCACGGTGTAGCCCAGGATCCTCCCGCGGGCATCCTGGGGGGACAGGGGCTGCGAAGGGTGGGAGACAGCCCTTGGGGATGGGTGTGGGGTCTGACACTGAGCCCCCCAGCGCCGGACGGACCCCCACCTGTCTCTTATACACA